TGAGTGATTGAAAAAAAAAAAAAGAATGTGTCAGGGTTAATGGGGAAAGGGAGTTTAGGAAGAGAGAAAGCTTGAGGGGAGACACCGGAGTGTGAAAGTACTGGCTGGTTTTAGAGGTGTTTAAGGAGGAGATTTCACAAGACTTAAATGGATGCAGGTATAGGCCTGGAGATGCATGAGCGCAGGGAGACGAGGACAATAGTGAGATTTCTCATCTGAATAGCTGGGAGAACGGGCAGCCCAGGGAGAGCCTGTAGACTAAGAATGGAGCAGGGTTAAAAACACAACCCTGTAAACAAGGACCTCTAACACTTAAGGGAGGGAAAGACAATGAAAAGAGAGGACCAGTCAATGAAAAGAATAAGGAGGGAAGGAAAGAAGGGGAGGCAATGAGAGCAGAGTCCTAGACACCAAGAATTTTCTGATGATGAAGGCTGATCAAAATAACGATGCAGAAATATCTGATCAAGTGAAGGTTGACAATAATCCTCATAATCGTGCATCAGTAAGTACCCGGTGGCCATTTTAACAGTACTTGAAGGGTGGAAATTGGAGTGGAAAACGCTGCGTTGTTAATGGGAGTTGAAGAAATGGGTGTCAGGGTCTATGTATTCTAATCCATCTGGTGTAGATGTGATGGAGGAAGAGAGAGTGGTGGATGATGACAGAGGAGGTGTAAGGTTAGGAGAAGAAAAGTTGAGAGCATAAGAAGGAAACTGACATTTCAGAAGCCCCGGCTATGCATAGAACTTCACAGGTACTTGCTGATATGTGAGCCTTGAGCCTACTGTAGGCTAAGAGGAATTACGGGGTAAGAAAATGAAATTACAGGGGGAAAAAAAGGAAAATTGGAGGAGATGATGGGAAGAGGAAACACCAAGAGGGAATTTATCTTTCTAAGAACAGGCAGCCTTGTAATGAGTTTAAAGAATGCAATGCTTGAATATTGCGCTGCAAAGTTTCTGGAATTTTCTCAATCTTGGGTTGTCTGACCTGAATAGAGGGCTTTTCTAAAATAGAAATAGACTTGTTAAAAAATGACAGCTTGAGTTTAATAATAGCTGACACATACAGAGCGCTTACTCCATGCCAGACACTCTGCTAGCACTTTGTATGTTTTGATGCCTTTCCCCCAAACCTTATGATGGAGATATTCTTTTTATCCCCTTTTTATATCAGAAGAAACTGATGCACAGCAAGGTGAAGTAACATTCCCGAGGTCACAGAGCTAGTATGTGGCAGAGTTAAGATTTGAACCCATGCAATCTGTGACCAGAACTTTGTTGTTTATCTATTTTATATACAGTAGTTTATATCTGCTGATCCCAAACTCCTAATTTATTCCTCCTCCTTTCCCCTTTGGTAACCATAGGTTTGTTTTCTATTCTGTGAGTCTGTTTTTGCTTTGTAAGTTCGTTCATTTGAGCTATTTTTTTGAAGAGATCATACAGCATTTGTCTTTCAGAGCTTGTGTTTCTAATCCCTGTGTTAAGCTGTCTATCCACTGGTATTTTGCATGAATTGCCTAACCGCCCTTAGCACACTTGCTCTTATTCTGGGCTAAGAGTCGAGTTCTGGCTATTTGGCTTTCTGCTGTGCTTAAGGAAAGGTGCACTCTACTTCAAGAAGCTCATGAATATCAAAACCTTAATCACCACTATTTGGATGACACGAGTGCATGCTTTACAAACCAAGCATGGCCCCAGTCACATTAAAATCAGAGTTGCAAAATAAAGAAACGTTCTGAAAAAAACCTTGTCTGCTTCATTTAGATAACAGCGTGCAGAATGAAGTGAAAGATAAAAATGCTCCGCGTTTACCATTTCCTTTTCCTTTTCTTACTTGAAGCCCCGTTTTGCTCTGGGTGATACCATCAGGCAATTTGGTTGGAGTGCGTTCCATGCTGGACTGTGCCGATTACCCAACTAACGACATGCACACTGTTGCCATTGTGACACCCCTCTTCTCACAAGTGGGAATTTCAAGTGACAGACTAAAGCTGTTCGCTATCAATTTGCAAAAAAACCCACATCTGCCAGATAGCCAAGATTTAGTTCAGAGACGGAAATCAATTAATATTCTAATTTGTTACCTGTCATTAGCATCTCGCCAAATTATGCCAAGTCAAAAGTAATCACCTTTATATAACATATGCTCCTAGAGGAATTTGATTTAGGGATATGTTGTATTTTTGTTGCATGTCACTCCCTGTGTATAAATCCCATTAGAAGTTTCAATTACATGGGTAGTAAAATTGTGATGGATTCAAATGAAAGTATAAAATATGCAGTTACATATTTATAATCAAATGGCATGGCTGTATTTATGATTGGGTTTTTCTAACACTTATTTACCAAGCCATTTTAAGATTTTATGGGTTTTACTTGTTTCTTCCCATTAAATCAAGGAGAGAGCTAGCAAAATAATATTTCTGCAGGTGTTACCCAGATCCTCTGACATTCTGATATTTTAGGTTGCTAGTCACAAGCGAATCTCCAGGCAGGAGAAACTTGATTACCTGGTCTGAATTCCAGTTTGCAAGAAAGAGATACAGGAATGGGACAGTGGCTTGGGAAAGAATGAAATGAGATTAGCCAAGGGAAAGAAAAGAAAGAAGGGAGAATCGCAGAGATATTTTTTCCAGCTGATTGTTTTCTTGCTGATAAACAGGGAGGAAAATATAAAGTAATGCCTGGCTCTAAGTGGAAAAGGCTACAAGATGGAGTTGTCATTATAAATATGAAAACAACTTCTTTTTTTTTTCCAACATGAATGACACCGTCAAGCATTGAAATGATGCTTTTCGGTGTCAGAAATTTAAAAAAAATTAATATGCTTTAAATTCTCAGCATCTTAACAAGGTGTCAGAAATCTAAGAGTGGTAGTTCAGGATATAAGTTCAATCAAGTTGATTGATTGATTCATTCATTCAACAAATAGATAGAGTGCCCCATATAGACCAAGGACCACCAGGGACAAGACTATGCATAGAACAGATCCAACTTCTTGCCTTCATAGAGCTTTTTGAGAGAGAGCTAGAGCAATTTAAAAACAGGTAATAAAATACACAGCATTGCAGGTGGTGCTGAGTAATACAGTGAGAAACAGAGCAAGGGAGAAGACAGGAAATGCCGGCAAAGATGGGGCAGGATAAAAGAATGAATGCTGGCAAAGATGCGGATGGCTGGGAGGATAATTTTAAAAAGCATGGTTGGGGAAATCCTAGTTAAGAAGATGACATGCAGCGGAGGCCTATGAGAGAACAGGGTGTGTGGACACATGGGGAACTTTAAATCCCACTGTTGACAGTGTTGTGAGGCCTCTCATAGTGTTTACTCTCCCAGAGAAGGAGATGGTGTTGAAGACAAGGCAGAATATGCATTTAGGTCGGTGTTATTCATTGCCTTCTCTGCCTCTCTATAACACATTTCTTTTAAAGCAAATATTCAAGTGAGAGTTTGCCCCCATGATACAGGAATTCGGTTTTTGCTATGTAGTTGTGACTTCTAAGTTGCATCAAAAGTGCCAAAAATCAGTCTGTTAGCTCAGTAGCAAAGCTGAGCAGAGAACTTAAGAGCCTGCGATGCCCAACCCGGGGCTCGCTCCGTTGGACCATCTCCATCTTCAGTAGGTTTACAGGATCTTCTTGCTGAGAATGGTAATTACTAACATTATTGTACAAAGAGTGCATCTCAGATGTACCTGAATTTGTTGAAAATGGACAGACAGATCAACAAGTTGTTAATTCCTTGGAGGATAAGATGATTTCTTGTAGTTTACATTTCTCACTGTCCTTAGAGAATAGAGACATTTTAGAAATTGCTCATCTGGACTATTGCAATATTCTGCTTTCTCTTCTGCCTTTGCCCCTCTAAGTACATTTTCAACATAATAGCAAGGGTGATTCTTAAGAAAAACCTATGTCAGATCATGGGACACCTCTGCTGGAAACATCTCAAAGGCATTTTATTTCACGCAGAGGAAAATCTGGGTTCCTTAGAACAATCTACAAGGCTCCACATGCTGTGGCCTCAGCTACAACCCAAGTCATCCTCTGCCATTCTCCACCTTGTTTTATTCTATTTAAGGCACAGGTTGCTCCTTGCTGATCCAGGCAGATTATTGCCTTTGTCTGTATTGCCCAGATTTTATAACTTTCTCCCCAAATTCCTCCAAGTTTCCTTACAAGGTACATCAGCTGAGATCATCCTAAAATATAACAACCCTTTACCCTACACCCCCTTCCCTATCCTACTGACTCTCCTTCAGTTTCCCTTCTATCATGTATCACTACATGATGCATTATATAGATTTGCCTCTTTACTGATTAAATTACTTCTTTGCTTCCACTATGATATCAGCTTTGTGAGGGCCAAGACCTACTTCCTGACATGTAGAAACATATCTAATGCATAGTAAATATTAAGATCTGCAGAAAAAAGACCCACTTGTAGGCTGAGATTTAAAGGCTACTGATCGAACTGAGGCTACACTCAAACAAATAAACTTAGGTATAGATTGTTTTCATCCTGATGACAACAAAGAAAATTTTAAAAGCTATGCAAACGATTTTGAAATATTAACACATGAATGAAACAAAGCCAAATTTGTACCAATGGGAAAGTACATTTTAGCTATTGTTTGTGAATAATCTTCACAGTGGAATGATTTCATAAATAGAAATAAAAAAGACATACACCACAACCCATAAACATTAATATTCCCCAGAGAGACACTGAAGAAGATAAAAAAGAATCCACTTACCTTAAACATAATAGTTTTTTCATAAATGAGACTTTCATTTCATTAAGTTAAATACTTAATAAGAATATTCCATTTCCAAGAATATTCCATCTTATTTTTGCAATACTCCCATTCCAACAACAAAAAATCAAATGCATGTTGGTAGTATGTTACAAGGAAATGTGCTTTTTTTCCCCAATGGGTAAGTTGATTTTCAACCATTTATTTTTACTCAGGTAGCAATAAATAATACTCACATGGAATTTTATGCAACTCGTTCATAAACTTCTCCTTCAGCTTAGAAAATGTGTCCTCCTTTCCTTCCCCAGGACTGGCTGGCTCTGTGGCGTTATTTGGTAGAACAGTGGCAACAGTGGTGACTGGCGGGGCTGCCAGGGCCTCGTGATGACTTTCACTCACCATTTTAGGTTCAGGTGGAGCTCTGAGGGGAGGGAAGCAAACAAAGAACAACTCAAAATGGCTTAACTGATCCCACATCAAAGCTATACCAGAGATGAAAAAACATCAGAGGGTGCACCTGCTCACTGGGTAAATAGTTTGTCATTAGCATATTACTCTATGTTGCTTCATGAAATATTTATAGACCCACAGCAAAGGTTCTTCCCCAGAAGGTAAGACCAGACATCACTACTGAAAGCATTCTCGCCCAACAATAATGTGAAAGTGTCAAATCTGTTAGTTACTTATGCAGGCAATTACTGCTCAGTAGATTTAACTTTTTAACCTGGATCTTACTGAAATGTGTATGAAACACTTGTTGACAACATACATGCTCTAAACTCTAAACGTTATGTGTTTTCTAAAAGGACAGGAGAGACCAAATATTTACATTGGAAGTGCTGATATAGCATACATTCAAAGTGTTAGTCAATTTAAAAATGGTTATAAAGAACACTATTAAAACATTGATACTCTGGGATTCCTGAATTTTACACAGAAATCAGCTCTTGAATCTCACTTATTGACAGTATGTTTTTTTCCTCTTAGTTTTTTTTTTTTTTTGGCATTTACTATCGACAATACGCTGATCAATTATTCACCTGTCTTTCTGAATGAGTTTTTGAAGCCACTGTAAATGTGACATGATTGACATATACCAAAGCACTGATGATAAAACATGACTTTATTTAATTATTTCAGTTTATTTAGTTTGATTATATTTTGGATTATTTTATTCAATTAATTTCTTCAATTACTTTAAATACTTGTTTATCTTCAAAACATTTAAAAAAATTAATCCTTAAAGTAGTTAGTGAAAAAAATCTTAGCCTTAGAGGAAACAGTTCTAGTGTTTCTCACTAGCTAAATGAAGATTGACTAGGCATTTAATCTCCTAATTTATACTTTTTGAAATATAAAGAATTGAAACCTGCCCCTAGATTTTTCTTAGTATATGTGGAGTGCTCTATAAAAATAAGAAAGGTCTTTTAAAGGGGTAGAACTGGAGTTATGTTTTCCAATCTAAACATATTTTGGACTTGAATAATTTTACTGTGCGATTTCAGGTTTCAGGCTGTGCTGGGGATAGTGGGCATGGTTTGGGAGAGAAACAGATAAATACAAATAGGCTTGGGTATGAGTGACTTTCCACTCTCACTAAGAGCTGATGGACCCCTAACGCCCTTTTGACTTGCAAAGAAATGGAAATAACCAGCGAATTGGATAAAGGATTTTTATAGAATTCAAACCTTGTGTGAATTAATTATGCATACTTACAGATTCAGTGAAAGTATAACTGAAAGTGGAACAATCTCAGATATGCAGGGTTTATCACAATCTTAATCAAAATCTAGATTTTAGATCTGAAAGGAGATAATGGCTGAGGCTAATCCACATACACAGATAATCAGTTTTTACTTTATAACAGATTAGTTCTCTTATTTCAAGCTTTTAATTTCAATAGCAGCTACTAATAAAATCCTAAGGGGTAGAATTGGGCAGAGCGGGGCTCAGGGCATCTCTGTTCTTCAGTTTCTTCATTTGTAAAATGAGAATAATCATATCAGATATAGAAGGTTTTAATCTATGTGAAGAATTCAGCACAATGCCTGGAATGGAAGTTTGTTCCTTGTATTGATCAGTTGATGGACCCAGCAATCAATCGATTTTACATGTGAGGAGACTGAGGTGATGCGGCTGGTTCAAAGTTACATAGTAGCAATTACTGGCATTGAGATTTGAACCTAGGTGTCTTAGCCACTATAGTATAAAGGACTTGCCCACTATGAGACTAGAATCTAAAAAAATTGTGTTTTTTTGAAGGAGTTTCAGACTATAACCCTTAGTAAGTAGTACATTTTATATTGCGCTCCAGTACACACTTTGCATCTATGTGTTATATATGAAACATGTTTCATATTAAAAAAAACTTGCCTTACCATGTGTGAAATATTCTTACATATTCCATTCTATTCTGTTCTTTTTATTAAAAATTTCTGGTTGTCTATGTTAGTAGTTTCACAATCCACTACTGGTTTGAGACCTACAGTTGGGAAAGTCACTATAATAAGGGGCGTGTGGAGACAGAATAACACTAAATGGGGCTAACAGAAACTAAAGACGCCATTTATTAAGAATCCACTATGTGCCAAAATACTGTCATTGAGATTTAAGTATAATATCTTCAATTCTTGTTATAACTCGAAAAGTAACTTGGTCTTTTTTTTACAGAAAAAAAGTGGGTTGTGGAGAGGTTGGGTGATTTGTTTTACACGGATTTAGTCTGATTTAAGGTTCCTTCCACTTGTCTACTCTAATCATATTTAAGTATTCTGAAACAGTTCAGTCAGCACTGGAAATGTATTTATGACATTCTTTTGAATTGCTTTGCTGGTAAACAGCAAACACAAGTCATCTGACTGATAGGAAACAGACTGAATGACTTTGGAGGTGTGGTCATTTAGTTTGTTAGAGTGGAGTTTAGCACCTGGAATATGCCAAGAGAAATACTGTTGAATAGAAAAGTGAATTCCCTTCTAGGAGAAAGTTCCGGCCAAAGGACATGAACAGGCAATTCTAAAAGAAAGAAACACAAATCCCTCCTGACCAAAAAAAAAAAAAAAAAAAAAAAAGTGTTTAATTTCACAAATAGTCAAAGAATTGAACGTAATATATTCATTTGTAAACGTGGCTAAATATAGATATGGAGGTGAGGATGCAAAGAACTTGGCAATTGGGAAGGTCAGTAGATTAGAGAAATACATTCATTACAAGGCCGAAGTGACAGAACATTTTAAAAGCTACAGAAGCACTCATTCTTCTAGGAATTTATAATAATCAATCTTAACTGTACAAACAACTTAATAGAAGGATATTTATAGTAACTTATTTACAATATTAGAAAACCAGAAACTACCTAACAGACTTCTTAAATCGTGGTAATCCATAAAATGATGTTACTAAAATTATCTTAAAGGTAAATATTTACAAACCTGGAAATGTATTAACGAGTTACATAAAAATGCAAATTAGGAAATATTATATAAAGCACATCCAATTTCTCTAAATAAGATCTTTTGTATAAATGAGGTTGGAAATATACATTTAAAAATGTTACCCTTGTGCTCGAATATTTGCTGTTTTTTTTCCCGCCTGTATGTTTAGATATTGTCAATATATCATAAACCTGAATTATTTTAAATTGCACAAAGGAAAAAAAAACCTTTAAAACTGTTTTGCTTCTGAGAAAACTGTATCTTGCCGAGTTCTATTTCCTAATGCCAGATTTTCAGAAAAATGCTTTAAAATGGAATGTAAAGAGGTAAATTGCAGGAAAGAAGAATTCAGCTACATGTTTAGCAAATATAATATGCAAAATGGCCACTGGTTAAAATAGAATGGAGAAAACATTTTAAGGTATCATAAAGGTTAATACACTTGTGGTATAATATGAGGAAAATCAGGATTTTGGTTGCCATGACAACTTCCCTCTGCCCCTTACATTTATTCTACTTAGTAGGACTTTAATTATGTCTATCTCTAGGTCTGCAAATTGATACGGATTTCTCAGATTATATAGTGAGATAGTCTACATACTGCATAAACACAATGATTTTTGATGAAGCACTATTTCTATCTCTATTTAGGTATTGTATTTTATAATAATGGCATACAGAATTAAAAAGCAAACAGGAGAAGGCCAAGGAAATATTGGAAAATATATTATTCCTAAGAAATAAAAAGTATTCTAATGCAGAAATGCCCCAAACTGAAAATAATTCTTGCAGAAATGATTAGAGAGTCCAGGAGATACCACAGAATGTGTTAAGAATGTGTTTATGAGATGGAAGGTAGAACATATTGATTTTCGCCCACCAGAAGTTCCGTTGACCTTCTGTAAGTGTAGGTGAGAGCCAGAAGAGGATGCTGTGTGCATCTGTCTCTCTGTTTCAGGAATGAGGCCTCAGTTTCAGGGAGCACTGCCTACTGACAGCTCACAGTCAGGAGCCTCTTCTAAAGAATTGCCCTTGGGTAAAGGGAGCTGCCATGCTCAAGGTCAAACCCACTTCCTCAGGGACAGCCCACATCCAGTGACTGGTGGGTGCTGATGTAAAGGCCAGGCTTCTTGCCTCAATTTGACTCAACTCTGAAGGGCCCCGTGGGATAGCTGAAGGCTGTAGTTAACTGCAGCTCAATTCAGCAACTCCCTTTGCCCAAGCCTGCTTCCGCCACTCCATTACATGGAAAGCATTTCCTGGCAAGCTACCTCTGACTCAGAGCAGCTTCCCAGGAAATCCCACCTGTGACACCCACTCTGAAAGATATTTGGAAAAAAAATAAATAAATCACTGTCAAAGATTTCATTTAAATTCTTTCCAAACCCAAGGATCCTTAGCCAGTGAGTGAAGTCTAGCAGCATTATCAAAACCTTCCACAAGTTTGCAAATGTTTGAATGACAGGCTTGAGGTGTAGTGTCGCTCTGGTTTAGATAGTTCCTCTTGCTTTAAGTAAAAGAGACTATCTGGCCCCTGTCATGGCGGCAGGGAGCTGACTTCCGGCGATAGCCTCAGTAAAATGGCTAGAGATGAAAGGTGGTTTTCAGGCCTTGGAGCCACAGGAAGCACAGCAGGCAGCCAACCTTCATGAAACCATAAAATGTAAGGGCTCCTGGATCCTTTTTCTTTTTCTCTTTTAAAATTCAAAATAGATTCAGTCACCTCTAGATTTTACCCAATTATCTCATTGCAAAAGTCTCTTAAGAGGTGCAGGGAAGATTTTGCTTAAGAGTGTGGTTCTCAGCCAGTAAGTCTCATAGATGACTTTGCAGATTTGAACACAAATGGGCCTGCTTAGCTTTACTTTGAAAGAGGGCTCAACATGCCTCCCCAGTCCTGCAGATACCACAGTGCTAATAGGGAGGAGGTGTGCGGATTATTATGCTGAAGGTGTCTTTGGAAAAATACAAGGAGAGAGGAAAGAGT